GTGACGTTTGTAGGGTTACTGAAGTTGGGCTAGCTGGTATATAATGATGTGCTACGTGATCGCTAGCGACACAGCTATGTTAGCATAACATAAACACAGAAGAATGAGGCGCCTTATGGTCCGAAAAATACAGTCGATGAAATTGTGTATTTGTAGTTGGTATGAGGGATGAACAGGGGGGGCTGTAAATTTAAAACACAGGGCTGTATTTCCTCCCCACGAGGGGGGGCTGTCTGATTGTTGGTGACTCTCTCTGTATTACTGTAGGATCTTTACATTACAACATAGAGCATCTCGAGGTGACTGTTGTTGTGATTTGGTGCTACATAAATAAAACTGAACCGTTTCCCTATTCTAACTCAGATTAGCAGACAACGATATAAAAACAGCTGTAAAACCACGAACGCACACACATGACCACACAGAAACGTATTACAGCCAGACTCAAAAACAAAAGCATATGTTTGCATTCATGTTTCTAAACTGATCACTGGGAATACGGAGCCTCTGTGGGTTCATCGCATTTTAAATGGTGCAAATCAAAGTGAGGGTGTGAATAAGAGCGAGCGCAAATGGAAAGACAATAAATGTCATGTCTGTTAATGAAAATGTCAACTCGTGCGGTGCTCTTGTATTATTGTCCTCCTTGAACTGTGCTCCTTCTGATGATAAGAGTTATTAGAGGTAAAAATAAAAACGTCCTGGTGGTTTCAGTTTGAGGAAATTGCAAACATCTACAAACTTATAACCCGTGTTTGTAGATGTGTGCATTCCCTTTGCTCATAGCTCATAAAAACTCGATAAGTGTAGCAACGCTACATGAAGTTTAATATGCGCTGTCATTTTCATCTCAGAAAACATCCAGAAGTTATTTATGAGACGAGAAAAACAGAAAGGCAAATAGAGTTATAATCATAAATCTGTGGCATGATGAGGAAAACCATCAGATCCTTCTGCTGTTTCGGTGCAGAGCACAAAATGCAAGAAAGGAAGAAAGACAGAAAGGCACAGGAGAAGTAAAAACTGGTTAAATCACTGAATCACCAACCTTCAGGCCTGCAACATCGTCGACACAAGCAGCGCAGTCAAGGACACAATGCAAGGACTCGTTCTTGCATTCAGAAGAAGCAGAACCTGCAGTCTGAATGCAAGAAGCTGATGCTAATGCAAGCTGCACGAGTGCGATTGGCATGCTGTAATGCAACAGTGGTGTCCTGGTACGTGACTGTCAGCTCCTGCAGATGCAGTCGGGTTATTTTACCGTGCAGCTGTATAAGTGTGCGTTTGTTTTTTCTTACTGTGTGTTGCTCTGTTTACCCTGCAGCATCTTCTCTGCAGAACCACACCCCGATTTTGGATTCCATGCTGCTAACTTGCATTAGCATGTGCTTGCCTTGTGTTGACCATGTGTCAGGCCTTTCTCCACTTACCCTGGGGTGAGAGGATGGCATGCACTTGCTGGGAGGGGGGTTTGTTATAGAGGGTTAGGGATGGGAGTTGGGAGGACAAGCACACACCTTCAGTGTGGGACACAGGCAAAGAGATCTCCATGCAAGCAGCGGACTGGGCCTTGCGGAAGGGCGGTCGGCCAGGGCCTCTGCGGGTAAGCCGTGGCCCCTCGGGACCCATCGGAATGCGAGGCTTCCCCGCCGAGCAGGGCTGGGAGGTGGGGCTAGTGCAATGTCCATTGACATGATCTGTAACAACGGCAAAGCATTAGCAAACAACAGAAAGAGGGATGTAATTCAACTTTAAACATATTCTGATTTACTGCTGCATTATCCATCTTCACAAGTCATTTAGTTTGATGGGAAGTGAAATAAAAATCAGGGCAGGGAACCTCAAATTAGGGACGAGATTTTCCAAGGAGATAACTGCTTTTCCCTGCCGGGAGACGCTTTGTCTACTAGACTGCAAAAAGGCAGGCTGACACTAGATGACCGATGAAGATGAATATTTCTGCAGCGTAAGAGGAGCAAGCTGATGCTGAAAATTTGATTGCCAACTAGGAAGATGATAGTGAGGGAAAAAGGGAGAGTGAGTGACAGAGGCTGGAGAGTGGTTTGAAGTAAGTATGTGCAAGGAGGGGATGCCGGGCAGAGGAGGAAGATGCAGAGTAAAACTGTGAGTGCAGCTTCATCGAGTCTGTGACGTGACATAAAACAGGCTCGTTTCATCTCCACTTTGTTGCTTTTATCTCAGTGAACTGTGGGGAAACCTTGTTTTAGCAGAAAGCTTTATGACATCCAAAGCTGCAGGTGAAGAACGAAAACAAGCTCTGCTCTTTATTCTGTCAAATTAGCACTCGCTTATATTGGCTGGGCTACAAATTCATCTACGGACAGAGCTGATACCAACACACTCGGTGATTTCTTTACCCCTCGGGGACGAGTCCGTACACTGTGCTGGAGCCAGACCCTGTTAATGAGACAAAGGAAAGAAAGGCCGGGCTGACCTTCTCTCGTTCTGTGTTCAGCCATACCTGTGAGCGGGCACGAGAGGCGGCCGGATCGATCCCAATGTGCCGGCACTGGTACCGATCCACACTAGTGCGTGGCCCGTTTTTCACTATGGAAATGAAACAATACCCTCGAACATGCGCTCTCGTGGTGTTGACTCGTGTGCATTTTATTGAAAGCCTGCACACTTTTAAACCACAGAGGAGCTCTAGAGACGCCACAGTTACACTCCAGCTCTCCAACGTACACAAAGGGCCGATTAAATAATGAAGGCGGAGCTCACAGGTGGGCATCACAGTGATAATAAACATCAGTATATGGACACACTGACCCTGTATTTATTTACATATCACTACGCTCTCATCCTCACTGAGTACATGAGTGAGGATGAGAGCGTGACCCCCCCCCCCAGCAGATTAACAGCAGCTGTGGTCTCTGCCGTGGGAGGACAGAAGCTTTCCATGTGTGTTTTGGTGGAAGGTCTTATACATGGAGACGAGTGGAGCAGATAAACAATATCATGATCATTTGTGCAAACACTCGAACGTTCCCCGCTCGCTCCTCTCCGATCGTTCGTCCCCGGCGCCCAGAGAGCTCTGCCGTGCAGCCAGTCGCTGCAAAAATGATTCAATTTCAAAGTGAAGATGAAAAGCTCCAGGGTGCCACCCAGTCCACGTGCAACACTCACCCAGTTTCACAGCAGGACTGACGAGGCAGCGCGGGGACTGAAAAACTGCAGGTAACACGGAGCGTTTGACGCCGCCGCGATCGGGCTTCACATTTTGTTCATTTTGTTGCCTCGAAATGTTCTGATGGAAACTGGTTTACAGCTGAGAGCGCGACACTGTGCTGACGTGCACATCCCACTCCACCCCCTCATCACACGCGCACAAACACACATCATCCACACAAAGGCACAAACACAATAGACTCGAGCGTCTTCCTGTCACACAGGTTTCTATTGTTGTGGATTTTAAACCTTCAGCGTTTGCAGCTCTACTGTTTTCTTCAATGTTCGATGACGACACCAAAACTAAATGTGCTGCATTCAAAGTTTGGGTTTCTGTCCTCACCCTTCCTGCTGATGGAGCATTTACCAAACAGCAAGTCAAAAATCAGGAGGCACGTTTGGGGTTAGAGAAGCAGAAGTTCTGGGAGGC